CTCACACATTGGATACATATAGACCAGTGCTGCTCTGGACACAAGGGTGTGTACGTGTGTAAGCATGTGAATTGGCAGTGTGCACGGACACACACACACATTACATACATAGGAAAACCCCCATAGGGAACTTGTTACTAAGCAGCTCACAGAGAACTGATCCAAGTGTAAAGATTGTGAGCTCTACAATCTTGTTTAAAACCTAAAATCTGGTTTAAAACCTAAAATCTCTCCCTATGAGATGATTAGTGCAACACAAACATGTACACTGATGCCCTTGGTGTTGGCCAACAGTGATCAAAGTGGAGTTTTGGTTCTTTTGGGGGTATTTTCTCTCATCAACCTACGCAAGAGAAGGCCTTGTTGATGAGGCGTCGTAAGATACAGAAGTACCCTACACCTTTCATTTGCCCCATGTCTGTAGATCAGGGCATTTTCAGATCATCCTGGCTTTCTGCAGATTTTGAGCCGTACTGATCATAAAGGATAATTTCCTCATTAGATTTTGGCTGAAGAAGAGAACAGATTTGCCCAGAGAGTTGTTGCATTGCTAAAATATGTACTTGTTTAGACAATCAGTATTGTAATAAAGCAATCAGTATAAGGTTTCATGCTTCACCTGATATATGATCATACATATGGATACAACGTCCCTGCACTACAACATAGCAGCAATAAGCACCACATTTATTGTGCGTGATTTTCACCTCAGTGTTTTTAATATGTAAACCATTTCCTCAGGCCTCTGCAAAGTACCCTGGAGGCATCCTGAAACACAACTAAGAGAAAACGTTGCCTTGAACATGTCACCTCAGCATCATTTGATGAAAAACATTCCGCCACAGAACATCTATCAAAACAATCCTTCAGCAGTCAGGCTGCTTGTAAGCCCATGTTGAGTGTGTGTGACTGATAGGTGGGCTAATGTAATTCTGTTGCTTCCACAGTCCTGGTGATGGGCTGTTAATCTGGATTTAGGTTTCAGGGCCACTGTCTGACTGAAACCTAATCCCACTGAGTGGCTCAGCATGGAGACAAAGACCTCAGACTGCACCAGGACATCTTCTGAAGCTCTGACCTGACAATCATGTGATAATCTACAACTCACACAGAAAGATCTGCTGACCATCTCCATCCATCGCACAACACAGTCCCAGTGCCTTCTCATCATTAAATTAACCTTTCTAGGGATTGACTTATCATTACATTGACTCATCTGGTCTTATTTACTAACATTATCCACATTTCTATTAAGCCTCTGCATGCTGATGACCTATTTCAATAACTGTTTTAATTTTAGAATTGTTGCTTAGTACAGCAACATCAAAATTACATGTCTTCCATCTCATGCATGTTCTGTGGTATGTAGAAAAAAATCCTATGCACTACTTTTCCGACGTAATTCAAGTCCTAAATTGAACAATTGTGAACCGTGAAATATTTCCAATCCTCATGCTCAATTACTCATTTATTTTTTATTTCCATTTCAGTTGATATAAAACATCGCTGCACTTCTGCTCCTAATCTTGAGAGGGGTGATGAATAAGGGCACAGATCCGATTTCCAGTTTGCTTGATCCAAGTGACATTATCGCTGAGGCATCACCTGACATTTTGCCCTGCAGTGCAGAGGTCACTAGGCTCCCTGTTATGGTATCATCTCTCCCAGGTCTATATTCATTCTGCAGCTCATAGCATGGGGATCTTAAGATTTAGATATGTCAATCATGCTTTCAAAGTGACATTTGCTCGAAGTAAGACCATTATATCTTCATACAGTTGTCAGATCTTGACTTTTTCACAGTTAGACAAGCTAGAATGTCACCAAATACCACCAAAGCTACCACACCAGGGGTTCAGGAGGCAAAAGTCACTCATTTTCTGCATAGGAAATATTAGCTGACACACAGTTGGGGAACTTCTAAGGCATGGGTGACCAAGAAGAGGTTAAGTCACTGGGACAAAAGATTATAAAATATGTTAGGAAATATTTGCCTCTTTAACAAAAGGTCAAAGCCAAATGCCTGACATAAACCTTAAGTAAAAAGGTCAACAAACTACTCCCAAGTTGCAGGTTAAGAAGCATCTGATCAGCAAGCTTAGAATTCAGTTGTGTCTTCTGCTTATGGCAAGCTGAAGCTAAATATGCTTTAAAAAGACTAGATGATACACAGTAGTTTACATGAATTCACTCTGGGATTCTGGATGATTTGGAGGAAATGTCCTACTATAGGATATTTATAGACATTTTCTATACCAAATGTGATAGAAAATGTTAATTTTAACTTTTAGTATCATCAGTATAGTAGTCTTTTTTTTTTAAGGAACATTGAGAATATTGTTGAAAGAACATTTTAAAATTGGAATTAACAGTACTTAAAAAAAAAATACTTAGGAACTACGGACCAAAGCAGACCAGTGACAACATCACAGTACAGTGTGAGATAAAATCTATGTCCATCTCTACTTTGTGACCCACAAAGACAGGGACAGCCTCACAGATGGCCTACTATACTTAAATTAATAGAATTTTCTCAGTTTCTGAGCACGAGCCAACGCAGGCAATTCAATAATACTGTATAACACATTCACACATAATGGATAGTTAATGTGAAAATGATGACCTTTTCAAATCAAAGCAGCATGTGGGAGGTAGAATAGAGGGGGTGGGAGGGTGAAGGGTGTGTAGGATTACCGAACCAGAATTGGCTATTCTGTGGTGGCAGAACTTTTTCAGGCAAGCTGGAGAAGAGTGACATTTTCCCATGGATATCTATCAACGAGGCTTAATGGTTTTCATGAGCACTTGCTGGAGAAATGACACTTTTTTTTTTAAATGGTTAATTAATAAATGCAAGGATGGTGATGAATAGCCCCCATTTTTCTTCCTGGTAATGAAATGATACACAGTTTTCCCCTGTGTTTCTAATTATCAGAGGGAACGTTCCCTGGTCTTTGGTGTAATCTGGGGACATTTTCATTATCATGGACACGAAAGAAGCAGCCCCACCTTTGCATCCAAGTAGACACAAACCACAGCAGGTGCAAAGGGGTGATTGAGTTGATCAATTATTAAATTTATGGCTGCCATTATGTAATTATAAATAATTGAATAAATGGCAGTGATCAGGTATATCACATATTGCAGCATACTATGATGAGAGAATAGCAACAATACTCAAGCTTAAATGCCATTACAGAGGCATTTAGGTCAATGCAAATTAATTCATAACATACAACAAAATCATATCTAACGGGTCCTTGACATTAACTGTTAAATACCATGGCAATTTAAATGTAACTGTAATGTTAAATAAAACTGAAAGAAGAGATTGACGGTATGCTTGCAGCACTTGTTTTCATCAAATGCTAGCTGACTTCTGAGACTTTGTTTTTCCACTGCAGACACAAGAAAGGGCACAAAGTTACAGTGGTAAAAATATAACCCACTACTATCACTCTGTAACCGTCTGTACAGGCCCAAGCCAGGATCAGAGACATGAACATCATAAGCAGAAGGAAGTTCAGCACATTAGGTGACACCATTTTGAGAGCAGAGAGATTTATCATGGAGGAGGAAGCTGCGTGTAATGTGTGTGTATGTGTGTCACTGATCGCTGCAAGAAAAATCCCCATAGCACCAATCAATAGCACGTGTGCATGGCATGGCTTGAGTCAAGGACAGAGACGGTAAGAGCAGAGGAATCAGCATCCGTTAACAGATTAGACTAGAACATCCACACTTCTGAAGGAATTCCAGATGCAACAAATAATCAGTTCACCTGGCTGTCAGTTCGCAGGTTATTGCCACAACACTACAAGCATCAAGAAGATTTGGAGGTTTACAGGAAAAAAACAACATCCCAATGCTACAACTTTGAAGCTTGGAGGTAGCAGCAAGTAAACAACACCACTTAGTGTATTTAGCGAGAGCATGCATGCAACTGTGAGTACAAATTATCTGTTAACATGGCTTGAAATTATTCTAAAATTAAGACCAATGTGCAGGAGAATTTCAACCAAGGGATGTTCACATAATTCACCCCAGACCTAACCTTGACTTTACTGAGCCAAAAGTCCATTTTAATTTGAAACACTGCATTACTGCAACTCATGTGCAATCCAAATAGCACTTTAACTTACTTGTTATAAACTATTGCATGATAGATCATGACACACAGATCATGATAGAAGTACGTAAGCAAGTATGTATTATGTATAAGTTAGTTTCAACTTGATCTTTTACTTCCTCATCATAGACATATCACCTTAATAATCACATTAAGCTAATCATATGGCACGTAGTACCTGTAAAAAAGAAAAATACATTCGATTTGTACCAATCCTTGTTTAACATTAGCCTACTCGAAATATCACCAAATACCATTAAAACATTTTCTGTTTTAGACCAAAGTCGTAACCCACTGTATGCACCCCCATTTTAAAGTCATTGTATGTCACTGGAAAAGGACATCACAGCATGTGATGTAGCAAAGAAGAGTCTAACCATCCACAGCAGAGAGACTGATTATTGAGTCCGGCAATAGATCATATAGCCTTACTGTACCAATCAATGCTATTGACCCCTCTTCTGCAATTCTCAGCCAACAACAGTGTCAAATATCCTAAACAGGATGGTAGTACATTTCAATTGCAAGCGATCACAAAGACACAGCAAAACCTCATTAACATTAAGAATCAAACTGAAATTCCAATATCAGTACTGATGACAAAGAACTAACCAATGGACAAACCTTTAACAAACTGCAGCCAGTAAAAAGGCAACCCACCTGTGGAATGCCATTAGTGAATTTTCCCAGTAATCTTTTCAACCAAGTCAACTCACGACAAATCACTTCAAAGTTTTCAAAGACTTCCCCTCGATGAACAAGTGGTTCTTTCTCCATTGATTTTTCAATCAAAAAACCAAAACAAAATTGCTCTTTAAATTCTGAATAATGAACAACACGTGGCAAGATTTTACTGACAAAAGTGACTTACGTGTTTTGCGGTGGCTGTGCGTACGCGTGGAGACTGTGGTGGAGACCGTCTCAGTAGTAGTATGCTCTGGGGTCCACATCTGCGTAGAATCATGAAGTACTGTTGGATTGGATGGTGAGGGGCTAGATGTTGCCGCTCCAATTATGAAGGTCGTCCGCGGCGCTGCAGTGGTCGTAGTAAAACCCGAAGGTCCACGTCCGTTCCGATTTACAGGATTCCGAGGGGTTACTTGGCTACCTGAGGCTCCACCCCCTCTAGGGTTTATAGTAGTTGTAGTAGCAGTGGAACGAGTTCTACCTTTTGCAACAGTTACAGTTCTAGGCGTGGGGTTCCCACCATCAACTGTGGGAGTAGTTGTGGTGGTGGTAGTATCGGGACCTTTGGGAATCCCACTTGGCTTTGACAGGAAGATGGGATCCTGGCCTATTCGATTAGCATCCACCAGATCGGTCGGCACATAATCCCGTACAGTACCAACAACAATCCATTTCAGCAGCATCAGGCTCAATCCAAGGCCAATGAAACCGATAAGTAAGGGGACCACACACAGCCATGTCTGCTGGCGAGGCCAAACCGCACAGCGAAGGGGACCCTGATCCTGGGCCTGGCCCTCACCACGGCCCCCTGAAGCCCCTGAAGCCTCGGGTTCTTCCAGGATCACCGCCCCGGAAACAGCTGCCCCAGAACACTCACTCATTCTTCCCTGCCGTCCTTTATGGCTCATTGAGGGTTAACCCTGTGATAGGCATCGGTAGCAAATGACAGAAAGGTTCCCAACAATGCCGGACATTGAGAAGAGACAAAGGGAAAGAAATGGATACAAAAAGGAGCCCACGGGAATTAAACACTCAATACAAATATATAATCCAAGGATAGAGAGAAGGGGAGGGGTTCAGGAGATACATGCAGACACACAATCACAAATACACAAGCACACACACTCACACTCAGAGACACCAAGTGAGAAATGAAAGAGCTGCGTAAACGGATAATCGTCCGATTAGTCCGCGTTCAGTCCTGCCCAACTCCCGATGTCCAACGGAAGCAACAGTAAACTTCAACAACGTTTACAGCAGGGCAAGCCAGAGGAGAGGAAGAAGTGATGCTTCTAACAGGGAAAAGAGGGACAAAGAGAAAGATGGGAGGTTGCGAGCTTTACATCTGTGCATGTCAGGAATCTATGGCATCTGTGTGGATGGCACTGCAGCAAAAAGCCACAGCTATTTCTACTTCTCAAGCATGTGTGTCCCTTCAGTATACAATCCACGACGGGACAGTTGTCTAATCAGGGCATTGAAACTTGCAGGGTGGGTCTTGTTGCTTCCCCACCCTGTGCAGGAGCAAAAAAAAAGAAAAGATGTTTCCCAATGCAGCCTGTTCCAACAGCTTTAGCCGAGTCAGCGTCCCTCAGCTCCCAAAATCTGTCTCTTTTGTAACTGAAAGAGAGCGAGAGCAAAGAGATGTGTCGTTTATGCGTCTGTCAAACACTCTCCTTGGATTATCCGCTATCTTTGTTGGCCATTGCTTTTCAATCAGCCTCTCCTTTTTTGAGAATTTTCTTTATCACTCTTTCGATCCAAACCCACTTTGCTTCCTTAATGTGTGCTCTAAATTCCAGTGAGGCTAAAAATAAAGCAGTAGAATCCAATTAATTTTCCAGATCCAGTTAAAAAGCAACACTTCAGATGAGGACAGAGAGAGGGAGAGGGAAAAAAAAAAAAAAAGAATGAGGGGTGTTGTCGCGCAGTGGTATCACAGGGCGGATAAATCTGCAACTGCGACGCGTGATCCCGCTCCTTCTCCAGCCGGCTGTGGATCAGATTTCCCCAAGCTGTCCGCTCAGCGCCCTGCTGTCTCAGTATACTGTCCGTTAATACTGCAGCAAGCACTCAGAAATCCTCTTCTCATCTATTTCAAGGGAACATTCCGCCACAGAGGGATAAAATGAGAGAGGAAGAGGATGAGAGGCAGGGAGTGGATGGAAATGATGGAAACAGAAAGAGCAGAAAGCAAAAGATAAGAGGAATAAAACAAACAGGAGGACAGAATGTTTAAAAATATCCCACTGATTCTCTCTTCTCTCTTTCTGAGTGGTGCTTTTTCCTCAGTCCCTGAAAGCCTGTGCTTTTTCCAGTCAGCCTGTGATTTGTTGGTCGGGTTGCTGGGATCCTCTGCTCGTCCTTCCCACCAGGATGCTTTCTTGGAGATGATTACAAATGTGCACCCCACGCTGGGATGGGAACTTGCAACCGCAGCAGCAAAGGCTCCCCAACCCCCTGTGGGGTTAGCAACATCCGACAATGCAGCTGTCTTTACCTGTGGCAATTGTGATGCAGGCGCACATACAGCTGCCTCTCTGAGCTGCTGCCGCTGAGAGACAGAGAACGAATGAGAAGGGGGGGGGAAAACGCAGGCACAGACAGAGCGGAGTGTGCACACTGGTAGAGCAAGGGAACAGAGAGAGAGAGATAGAGAGAGAGAGAGAAGCAGAGAGGGAGGGAGGGAGGAGGGAAAGAGGCTGCACCTGCTAGATGCACCAGCACTGGGAAGCTTGCCCACCTCCGTTAGCAGGGAGGGGAGTGAGTAAAGATGCAGAATGCATACAGAAAAGTAGAAAAAAAGAGAAAAGGGGAGTGGAGGTGTGTGTACAGATAAAGATAATGAGAGCGGGAGGGGAGAGAGCACTGCAGCGGCAGATGAGGCAGTTACCAGCGAGAAGCTGTAGAAGAGTCCCAGTCGGATCAGAGCAGAGAGGCACAATGCAGGAGCTGTCACTCACTCCCTCGGCCCCGCCCACTGCTCGGCTTTAGTGGAGGACAAGGAAGACAGGAGAGATGAATTTCCAAAGACCAAACTTACGGTAATGCCATATTTAGTATGTTAATGGAGATGCACTGGAACCTGGTCAGAAATTCATGGCCATAAAAAGTGCATGTATATGTATAGTACATATATTGATATATATGCAAGTTCAATCATGTAGTCTATCCAAAGACGGCCCTAAACTTGAATAGACTCCTGATTTATTCTTTTATTTGAGGTCTTGTTTATATGTACGCAATTCATCTTTGGGTTTTGGTTCTACTGGCATTCTTATTTAAGATACATTTTGGATTTGGGATTAATTATTGGTAATTTCCTTCTTTCTTTTAACATGTGCATTTTTTTGTGCCAATTTAAAGTAATTATTGTATATGACAGCCTCCCTATTAAATCATCTGAATTATGTCTGTTTCTTTCTTAAATTCCTCTTTTAATATATTGCTATTTTTCAGCCAGACTATGTATTTGTAGACCTATATAGTACACTGCAAAAGGTTTTTTGTGAAATTGTGATTTGGGTCCTTTTTATAACACCTGTCATTTGTTCTCCTAATTATCAAGCGACTGAGTTACGTTGCCCGCACTTCTACTTGCAGAAACGTTTTAAAATTCATATCAAGTTTGAACTTGGCTGAGTTTAAGTCCATTCTTTAATGTATTCAGTGTAATATTTAGTCATTTGCCTGGATACCCTGAAATTAAGCCAACCCTCAAGCATTATCTTTATTTTTTGCTCTTTCAATATCTTATTCATTTAAACTTCAATGTGGATATTTCATATCCTGTTTATTCCTGTATCTTTATTGTAGCCTATTTTCTGCTCTTTTAATAAAATACCATTGGAAAAGAAGACGGATTTATTGAGAGAGAGAAGTGAAGTGAGGGAAAGTTGGAACAAACACAGACAGAAAATGAAATAATAAAAAGACCCATAAGTCAAGAGGAAGAAGACAAGAAGACAAAAGACTAACAAACAAACATTTTGAGTTTGGCATCACCGCTTACTCTGACTATTATTTTAATCAGTCAGGTTGAATGGCTGAGCCTCAATAAATCCAGCCGGGGTTCAAAATCAATTCATCAGCGTACAGCACGGTGTAAAACAACCTTTAAAGACGCCGGTTGTAAACCATGCACTGTTTCCTCCGTTGTGTTGTGACTTTATCTTTGTGTGCATGGACGGGTTGGCAAGTGTGTCTGCTGAGAAGTGATAGCATCACAAGAGAGAGACACACATAAAGTCATGCAGATAGCATCTGCCTGTAGGGGGATCCTTCAATTGGTCCCCGGGGAAACTTGAGGGTTTTCACACCTCTTTCTGTCTTCTGACACACAAATATACGGCAGCACGAGTCTGTAAAAGCAGCCAAGATGACACTGTGGTGCTTCGAGAGAACTGTCAATGATCACACTGGCAAACAGCCACAGGGACATAAATTAAATGCTAAACCATCAGCACTACCACTTGATAAAGAAGACACATTTGATTACATCAAAATATACAGCTGTAACTATAAAACGGACGTTAGCCGCTGTCACAGAACCAGAGAGTTCACAGCTCCCTACATTAGGTAGAGGGTATATATAGTGGATACTCAAATTTAGACTATCAATAAGCCTGTGTATTTGGCCAATTTTTATGTATAGATTAAGTAAATCGTTAATCAAAGTATGTAAAAACGCTTTCTCAGATACCTGGAGATGCAAAACAAACTGCTACACCTCTAAAGTAGAACAGTTTGTAATTGGCTACAGTAAAATGTGCCGACAAGACGAACCTTAACTGTGTTTAATTAGAATATATCACGGCCTGTGCTGGATTGTGGATTAATTACTTATCCTCACCTACAGTGAGAAAAGTGTGTGTGCAGAGGAATCCAATGGTGAACAAGGTCAGTTAGTCTTTGTGGTGAACTCCTGTTCAATCTGGGTGTGGGGCATCGTTACATGGTTATTTTTAAACACTCCTACTGTATTGATGCAGGCATGGAGAAACAGGAATGTTAGAATTAAAAGTCCAGGACTGTAACACATGAAGTGTAATTAAAAATGACTGAAACTAATTTCCAATTTAATCTAAAAAAAAAAAAAAAAAAAAAAAAATAACACACTTAAAAATAGTGATAATATGCATTCATATGTAGCAGCATTCCTAGAGCCCACATTACAACTTCAAATGGCTTCTGTTGTCTGAACAATCCAAAACCCAAGAATATTCCATTTACAATGATACAACAGAAAATCTGAAGATGGGATCAGATATTGTTCTCCAGCTTTTGTCTCCTTTGTTACATTGTAACACTGTAACTTGTGATTAATGTCCCATGTCCCCTTGTATGTTGTGTTTGTGTTTTTGCTCTCTACTGAAAATCAGGTCAGGGACAATGAAGATCTGAACTGAAGTACATGTTATGTTGCGCGTTATGTTTCTGTTTGGTTTGCTGTCAGCTTGAGCTGTCTGTCATAATGTGGGGTTTATATTTCTAGAGCCTGCTCATAGTTAATTGTTTAAATGTGTTTTGTTTTTTTTGCATTTCATTTTTTTTTTATGGACGGTGCAGAGAAAAAGGCAGAGGAGAGACATGCAGCAAATGGCCTTGGGCCGGATTCGAACCTGGCCCGCTGTGGTACGGACTCAGCCTTGACACATGGTACGCGCTCTACCCAGTGAGTCACTGGGGTGCCCCATAGTTTCATTTTGAAGCTTATGCCTGAGACACATTTATAGTTGCAAATATCACTTTCAGTTCTGCTGTTCTCTACATCCCCTTGCCATCTGTTGTTTACCATCCAGCAGTCTAATCCTATCATATATCATAAAATATGTCTAGTGTTAGATTATAGCAATGGGTGTGTTTAGCATATTGTATGACCATCACTGTTATCATATTAAAAAAAACCTGATTCAGAAATAGAAATTAAAATATCTTTCTAGTGGCCCAGGGAACGCTGCCAATTTATTATGCACAAATGACACATTAGACTCTATTTTGGTTACAATGAACCATGCGTTTATCCATTTGCGCTAACTGGCAAAAAGCTAAGCAATGAGCACTTAAGTGTGCTCAGCATTTAGAAATCTTCCATATTCATTCACCTTTAAAATGTCTGGAGAGGCATTTAAAGACTCCTCACTCTGAACCTTTTCCTACACTCCTTATTCTTAGATAATGCAAAAAAACTGCATGTGTTGGATTTAGGGAGCAAAATGAAATACGATTTATTTTACTTTTTGGAAAAAGTGTATCGATATTTTTATTTTAAATCAGTGGTTTAGGTAGCTAGGAGCCAAAAACTTAAATGAATATTGAAGATAGATAACTAATTTACAGGACCAAACAGCATTCTCACCAGCCAGCCCTCAACAACACGCACGCACCAAAACAACAACAACAGCCGGGTGATGCTTGCAAGGTTTTTGATGATGTTGCTTGTGCACATTACCAGGCCTCCCAGACTGCAACCTGCTTTTTAATTAAAGGGCAAACAAATGTATTTCCTACAATCACAGGAAGACAACAAACAACAAATCAGCCCTATTTCAAAAGGTCAAAGTTGTAGTTATTTGTCCAGAGCAATAATGTGTGCATGAGAGTTCAGCTTAATCAGTCCCTCCAGGAATTTTCAGCCGCCAAAATGATTGCAAATTCAATCACTTCCTGCATTTGCAACAGCTTGTTGTCATATTTCTGTAAAACAAGTCCAATTGGTAGAATCTTTTTTTTTAGAACACAGTTCCACATTATAATAATCCAGTTCAGACCCAATGTCAAACAAAATCAGTCCTCTAGCACATTTCAGCTGCCTCATCCTCTGGGATTCTGGGCTCACCTTGCTCCCAGCGCTCAATCACCCCTGATGAGCTCCAAAATACACTTGTTTACACTTTTAATGATAGCTAATTATAAAAAGTTGATTAATCAAATTAGACCAAATGCTAAAATCTGCAAAGCAATTTTTGGCTATAATAATCACAAAATACCTTAGTGAGAGCACTGCTTTAGGAAAAACATACGCAAGACTAAACAAGCGGGCCAATTCATATTAAATGTTAAAAATAAATATTGCATTTGTGCAGTATTTAAAAATATAAATATTTTAGGAACTGTGAAAAGGGCAGGCACTTCTAAAGAGAACCGTATATCACGGGTCACACTTCAGCCAGTCAGATCAACGAGCCATATAACGTCATCAAACTCTTTCCAAAGCCAGTCGGAGGAGAGTGAAAAAACCTATTTTCCATCGAGAAAAGTCTTCATTCAGTTCTTTGCTCTTCTTCCAATGAAGACATACTCTCCAGTTCTGATGGAACTGATACTAGCAGCATCTACGCTAACATCTGTAACTTTAGCCGCCATTGATGTTTTTGACCTAAATCTCACTTGTCACACGTGGTCACACAGAGCTAGCATTAAACCCTGCCATAGCTACCAGCAGTTCCTCATAGGATGCTGATTGGTCCCAGCCACTGTGTTTTGGGCATTAGCGCGTAGCTTGAAGCCTAGCAAGGTGGACTCTCATGTGAACTCA